GTGTGTGTGTGTGTGTGTGTGTGTGTGTGTGTGTGTGTGTGAGACTCTGGATATCAATACCTTCAAGCTGTTGTTCAGTTTAATCATGCAGGTGATTAGTAATGACAGGTGGTCGGAGGCGGAGGAGAGGGAGGACTGAGCTGACAAGAAGAGGAGTTCATTTTACCTTCATAACAACATAAAGCTGCCATTAAACACACACAGACACACACACACACACACACAAACACACATGTTGACTTTTCTATGAGCTGTGAGGAACTTTTCCAGCAAACAGCTGGACGAGCATCAGGATCAACCTGAGGGATTCAGGATTACTGTTACAGAAAAATAAAAAGATAAACTTTATTTTCTGTGAAAACGCTGAAGAAATTTGCTCAAATTTTAGCAGCTAAAGCTGGATTCTAGAAGGTAAAACAAGCTGAAACAAACCCAAATGATCAAAACAGGATCTAAAAGCTAAAACTAGCAAAACTGCAGTTAAAAGCTAGAATTAGCAACACTGCGGCTAAATGCTAAAATGATTAAAACCATGACTAAAAGCTTTAAGTAAAAAACAAAAGCTAAAAGCTACTGAAAGCGGAAAATAATAGCTAAAATATGGGGAAAAAAACAATAGCTTCATGCTAAAAGTCAGCTAACAGTAGCTAAAAGCTTAATTAAGCAAATATAGCTGAAAATTAATAATAAGCAAAATCACATGTTTACAATGTTGAGTATGTTGTTTGTAAGTTTCTGTCTTAAAAGAGAAAATTCAATAAAATATATTAAAAAAGGCAAAATGGAAAAAAAAAGCTAAAAAATAGTAAAAACATATCTAAGTCTAAAATTAGCAACACTGTGGCTAAATGCTAAAATTAGTAAATCATCTGAATTTAGTAATATTATGGTTAAATTCTAAAATTATCAACTTTTTTATTACAAGCTAAAGCAGCCAAACCGAGGCTAAAAGCTAAGTTGAAGAGCGCAAAACAGTAACTAAAAATGAAATATCAAAATAGTTATGAAGCTGAAAACAAACTATAGTAAAAGGAACAAAACAGTGAATAAAAGCTTAAATTAACTAAAACATAGCTAAAAGCTAAAATAGTCAAAACTGGCTGACCAGGCTAAAAGCTAAATGTAAGAAAAATTATAGCTACAAGCTGAAGAAAGCAAAACTGTAGCTAAATGCTAAAAGTAGATAAACGCTAACATTAATGAACGTGTAGCTAAAATCTAAATGTAACAGAAATTAGCTTTAAGCTAATAGCTACTAGTCAAAAGTTGAATAAGACAAAAACAGATCCAAAACTCAAAGTACTGTATTCTCAACTGAGCCGCGTGTTTTTTTATTGTAGAATTAAAATGTTTTATTTTATATTTGTCTCATTTTAACCACGTCTAGTTTTTGTACAAATCTAAAATTTAAGATTGAAAAAAAAAACATGAATATGAAAACTCAAAACGTCCAAGCCTTCAACATCTCTGAAACCTGGAGACACTTCTGTTAGAACTGTGAGCTCGATCAGGCTCGGATTATTTGGACATTTTCTTCTAAAATGGTGGAGCTACAAGCATCTCAGAAAAATCTGAATTTCTCTTCGAATGAAGTATTTAAAGCACTAAAACCTCAGAACGTCCCTGAGGGGTTAAACACAGAGTCAACCTTCAGAAATTAGAGAAAATTAGTCCTAAAGTCAGGCTGAAAAACTGCCAAACCATTGATGCACTCATTAAAACTCTTCACATGTTTCAACAAATTACTCTATTTAGCTACTAAATAAAAAGGGACGAAGCTGATGGAGAAAATGATTCTTTTCTTGTCAATATTTGATGATTATAACAGTCCTTGAATGCAAAAACAACAGACTTGTTGACTATTTAAAGACCTCTGGATCTGGATGTTCTAGTTTTTGCACAAAAACTGCTAAATTAAGCATAAAATTATATTTTTTCAAGATTTTCCAACTTTATCTAATTGTTTCCATTAAAGTCTGTTTCATCAATCAATCAATCAAATTTTATTTGTATAGCACATTTCAGCAGCAAGGCATTTCAAAGTGCTTTACATAATTAAAATAAAAACAGCATGTCAGATAAAAGAAAAGATAAAAACATTGAAGACATCAAAACCCAAACTCTAATCCTAATTTAGCCATAAACAACTCTAAACAGGTGTGTTTTAATTTGAGATTTAAAGGCACCCAGTGTTTCAGCTGTTTTACAGTTTTCTGGAAGTTTGTTCCAAATCCGTGGTGCACAGAAACTGAACGCTGCTTCTCCTCGTTTGGTTCTGGTTCTGGGGATGCGAAGCACACCAGAACCAGAGGATCTGATGGGTCTAGACGGTTGGTACGGCAATAACAGATCTTTAATGTATTGTGGTGCTGAACCGTTCAGTGATTTATAAACTAACAGCAGTATTTTAAAGCCTATTCTTTGAGCTACAGGGAGCCAGTGAAGGGACTTTAAAACTGGTGTTTTTTGCTCTGTCTTCCTGGTTTTAGTGAGAACGCGAGCAGCAGCGTTCTGGATCAGCTGCAGCTGTTTGATCGATTTATTAGTCAGACCTGTGAAGACGCTGCTGCAGTAATCAATGAGGCTAAAGATAAACGTACGGATGAGTTTCTCTGGATCACGCTGAGACATTAGTCCTCTAATCCTGGAGATGTTCTTCAGGTGATAGAAGGCCGACTTTGTGACTGTCTTAATGTGRCTTTGAAGGTTCAGGTCAGAGTCCATCACTACTCCCAGGTTTCGGGCCTGATCGCTGGTTTTTAGCTTTAATAACTGAAGCCGTGCATTGACTCTAGTTCGCTCCTCTTGAGGTCCAAAGATAATAACTTCAGTTTTGTTTCTGTTCAGCTGGAGAAAGTTTTGGCACGTCCACACATTTATCTGTTCTTAGCACCTGTTCAGTGAATGGATTGGTTCAGAGTCACCTGGTGACATCGTGATGTAGAGCTGTGTATCATCTGCGTAGTTATGGTAGCTAATCCTATTTCCTGCTATAACCTGAGCCAGCGGGTGCATATAAATATTGAAAAGAAGGGGTCCGAGGATTGAGCCTTGGGGTACCCCACATGTGACCTTTGACCTCTCTGATGAGAAGTTTCCGATTGAAACAAAGAAATCCCTGTATTTTTATGTAAGAATCAAACCAGTGGAGCACTGGACCGGAGAGTCCGACCCAACTCTCCAGTCGATTCAGTAAGATGTCGTGGTCAACAGTGTCAAAAGATTCATAAAGATTTGATCGTTTTATTTGTTTGTTGTCAAAAAAAAGTACCACACGTCTTCACAAAGATCAAACCCTCTGCTTCAATCATCCAGCTGTAATCAGTGGGGCCTGCAGAAATTTTTTTCAGGGGGGGCCATGGGGGGTCCACTGAAAAACCAGGGGGGGCACACCAAAACTAATATCTATCACAGAAAATTTATGATGTGTTTGTAAAAATGACAAATTGAAAACTATGGCAATATAAAGCTATAGATTTGCCAACAGATGTTCAATTTATAATTTCACAGATAAAATCACTGATTTTATGACATTCAGAGACAAAAAACAAGAGTAAGTATTTGTAATGTTGGGCGGACCCACTGACGGGGGATCTGGTGGTCCTCCCCAGAAAATTTTTAAATAAGTAAATGTCATTTCCTGCATTCTGATGTATTTTAACAGGTTGTTAAACAGATTTTTACCTACATAGGAAAACACTTAATGTGAGTTTTTTATAGGTAAAATGAAATAAATTTATCTGTTAAACAAGAGAAACACTGGATGAACTAATGTTTTATGGTAAACGTGGGGTTTTAAATTAGTTGAATTTTAAATTTGATGGGGACAGTTTCCTTCAAAAATGATTGATTTTATTTAAAAATGTCAAAATACATATTTTAAAGACATTTACAAGGAACAAGCTTTTTTAAATTTAAAGCCATCACCTCTTCTATGTTTGTTAAAATTTTTATTTGTTTGTTGATGTTTTACTTTTGTGAAAAAAAACTGTGATTATAAAAACCCAAAACTGGAAATAAAGACTAAAACAAGCACAATTACAAACTACATCCACTGTAGTTTTATCCCAAATTATTAAGTTATTTGTTTTTATGTCATAATAAATTTGATTTTGGTCTGTGAGAGAAAACTGGAGTACCTGGAGAACAGGAAGTTGATCTAGAACCTTCTTCTTTAGAGGCAACATGTTGCTCTACCAACTGTACTGTACTGCCTCATTTTATATTTATCATATAATTATTAAAATTATTTAATTAATATTTGATWAAAATATATCTATGAATATAACCTCATGAGAACCTCCATCTTTATTTGAGAACATTGRTTTTAGACTGGTCYGGTTGTCYTTATTCAGAGGTGCTACATTTTCATTTAATTAATTTTTTTTATTTTAAATAAAATATAAAATAATGTTTTTAACTCTTAATTGTTAAAAAAATCAGTATTTGTGTTTATATTTATGAGGTTCTATTCCTAAATAGGTAAGGGAATTGAAAAAGGAAAAACCTGGGTACTCAAGAGGATAAAACTGGGAGGGCCACTGGGAGGGCCAGCTTATTGCCCCCCCTGGCCCCGTCTTGCTGGTGCCCCTGGCTGTAATAAAGATGTTATAACACATCAACACACCTCCTTGCCGGCCTCCTCCACCATGAAGAACAGGTTGGTGCCGTCGGCCACGGAGAAGGTGAAGCGGTCTTTGAGTGAGTTGGAGCCGTCGTGGTTGTAGCTGATGCGGTTCTGGTAGATGTCGTCCATGGTGAAGGTGCTGGTCTGTCGGTAGTGTTGGCCATTGCCGGTGCGCTCAATGGAGCCGTGGCGAGGAGGCTGGACGACGGTGAAGACGATGGACTCCGCCTTCAGGTGGTTTCGGTGGAGAGAAGAGGTTAAAAGGATTAAAAAGACATTTTCTGTTTTTAAATAGATTTAAATAGTTTAAAGTATTACCTCTGTGTCTGCATCAGTAGCCTTCAGCTCAAATTCAGTGATGGTCTTCCTCACACCCTCCTGGACTCTCATACCGGGCACCTGGAGCAGAGGCAGCGAGTCGTCCACAGGCCTGATGGTGATGTAAAACGTCTGAGCAACCTAGAAACAAGGGGAAATTTGACCAAAGCTGTTAATGTTGGACTTCAAATTTCCACATATTGTTACTGTCTTTGTGAAAACCTGGCTATTGTTTCACACACCAAACAAACACGTCCATTTGTTCTGTTGGTGTTAGCATAAGCTAATGTAGCATTAAGTGTTCAGCTTCCAGCAGAAAATAAGTTCATGAGCTTTAGTGGTTTTTTTTCTTTCAGTTAATAATACAGCAGGTAAAATAAGTATTGAACACGTCACCATTTTTCTCAGTAAATATATTACTAGAGGTGCTAATGACATGAAATTTTCACCAGATGTTGGTAACAACCCAAGTGATCCATACATACAAAGAAATCAAACCATAAATGTCCAGAAATGAAGTTATTTGTAATAATGTGGAATGGCACAGGGAAAAAGTATTGAACACACTTACTGAAATTTATCTAATACTTTGTACAAAAGCCTTTGTTGTCAATGACAGCTTCAAGACGCCTCCTGTATGGAGAAACTAGTGGCATGCATTGCTCAGGTGTGATTTTGGCCCATTCTTCCACACAAACAGTCTTCAAATCTTGAAGGTTTCGTGGACCTCTTCTATGAACTCTGATCTTTAGTTCTTTCCATAGATTTTCTGTTGGATTCAGGTCAGGTGATTGGCTGGGCCATTCCAGCAGCTTTAGTTTCTTTCTCTGAAACCAACTGAGAGTTTCCTTGGCTTTGTGTTTGGGCTCATTGTCTTGCTGAAATGTCCAGCCACGTTTCATCTTCATCATCCTGGTAGATGGAAGCAGATTTTTATCAAGAATGTCTCTGTACATTTTTCCATTCATCCTTCCTTCAATTATTTGAAGTTTGCCAGTACCATATGCTGAAAAACAGCCCCACACCATGATGTTCCCACCTCCAAACTTCACTGTTGGTATGGTGTTTTTGGGCTGATGTGCAGTGCCATTTGACCTCCAAACATGATGTGTATTCTGGCATCCAAACAGTTCAATGTTGGTCTCATCTGACCAGACTATATTCTCCCAGTATTACACAGGCTTGTTTAAATGTTGTGCAGCAAACTTTAAAGGAGCTTCAACATGCTGTTTCTTCAGCAGTGGAGTCTTGCGTGGTGAGCGTGCATACAGGCCATTGTGGTTCAGTGCATTACTTATTGTTTTCTTTGAAACAATCGTACCTGCTAATTCCAGGTCTTTCTGAAGCTCTCCACAAGTGGTCCTTGGCTCTTGGACAACTCTTCTGATCATTCTTTTCACTCCTCTGTCAGAAATCTTGTGAGGAGCACCTGGTCGTGGTCGGTTTATGGTGAAATAATGTTCTTTCCACTTCTGAATTATGGCCCCAACAGTGCTCACTGGAACCTTCAGAAGTTTAGACATTCTTCTGTAACCGATGCCATCATTATGCTTTGCAACAATAAGGTTGTGAAGGTCTTGAGAGAGCTCTTTACTTTTACCCATCATCAGATGGTTCTTGTGTGATACCTGGCCATCATTTGGGACTGAACCAGCTGATATTAACTTGCACTGACAAGGGGCAGGCTTGCTTTCTAATTACTGAGAGAGTTCAGCTGGTGTCTTGGCTTTCCATGCCTTTTTACACCTCCCTTTCTTCATGTGTTCAATACTTTTTCCCTGTGCCATTCCACATTATTACAAATAACTTCATTTCTGGACATTTATGGTTTGATTTCTTTGTATGTATGGATCACTTRGGTTGTTACCGACATCTGGTGAAAATTTCATGTCATTAGCACCTCTAGTAATATATTTACTGAGAAAAATGGTGACGTGTTCAATACTTATTTTACCCGCTGTACTTGCAAAACAAGACCATTTATTAATAAATAATGCAACACAACAGTTGTCTATTCTGTTTGTACTGAGTTTTGCTAATAGAGGCTAACATAGCACTGACCTTGCTGACCTTCAGCAGAGAAAAAGAGAAAGTTAGTGAACTTCAGTTGTTCTTATTTTGTTAAAAGTTTTTAATACTTGTAAAAAAAAGACCATTAATTAAATAATGCAACTCAACATATTTTCTTTGGACTGGTTATGCTAATGGAAGCTAACATAGCATCAAACATATAGGCTTTAGCAGAGTAAAAGAGAAAGTTAGTGAGCTTTAGTTATTATTATTTTTGCTCCAGTTACTTGTTAAAAAATATTGTTTATTAAATAATGCAACACAAAAGTTGTCTATTCTGTTTGAACTGCATTATGCTAATAGAGGCTCACATAGCATTGACCAGCATTTAGCCTTCGGCAGAGAAAAAGAGAACGTTAATGAGCTTCAGTTATTTTTATTATTCTGTTACAGTTTTTTAATACATATAAAACAAGACCATTTAAATGCATCAGAACAACTGTGAGCTCTGTTAGGGACTGTGTTATGCTAGCGGCTAATGTAGCTTTTACTGTTTAGCCTAAAGCTAATCCAAATAAGCTAATGAGAGACATTTTTATTTATGTTTACAGACATTTTTACGTGTAAAAACGTTGCAAATCTTTTATAAGCTACACTTTTAACAGCTGCCAGTTTTGTTAGAGACTGTGTCGTCCTAGTGGCTAATGTACCTTTTAGCATTTAACATCCAGCACAATAAAATTAGAAACTAAATGAACATCAGTGTGTTTTTTTTACGTCCATTTGTTGTTACTTGTAAAATGTGATTAATTTCTTACAAACGATGGAACACAACAGCTGCCAGCTCATTTGGAGACAGTGTTATGCTTGTGGCTAATGTAGCTTTTAGTCTTTAGCCTCCAGCTAAACAGAGCAAGTTAATGAGCTCCGGTATGCTAAAATATTTCTAACTAAGCTGCACATATTTCAGAGTTAAGACATCTGGGAAAACACACGCACACTTCAAGTCAAGTGAAAACTTTGTGTGCTGTGTGATCTCAGCAAAATTTTACAAACGGCACAACATTTCTAGCGTGAAACTCAAATGACATCAAATAAATGGCACAATTAGCAGCTGGACCAGAAAAAGAGCGAGCCCTTCTGCAGCTTCATATTGACCTAAATAACATGTATACAGTAGCTTTTTAACAAAAATCCCAAACCTCCTAAACTCCAAAACAAAAAGCACTGAAGCATTTCAAACATTAACCACTCATGCGTAAAGGACAAATGACCTTTTTTTCAACTTGTTTACTTTAGTTCTAGTGTTTCTCATTAATTCTGATTAGCAAGACAAATTTATGCACGAGGTTAAGCGAGGGAGCTGGAGGAGCTGAAGTGCTCCTTCATCACACAGAAACGTAACACAGGTGTGATAAACAACACAGAAAACAGCCTACAGTGTTGGGTTTTCTCTATGTGCAGAGGTTTATGGAGGTTTCACATGTATGCATGTATCGATTCTCACATAGAAGAATGGGTCCATACCTATGTTCCCTGGTATATACTGTCTCAATTTATACATTTCCATCTAGGCAACTTACTTGGACATATGGGTACTGTGAAAACATAAGTACAGAAAAACAGGGATCCAGGCAATGGGAAACATAGATACAGAGGAACATAGGTAACGGGGAACATGGATACTGGGAAACATAGGCACTGGGCAAAATAGATACTTGGGAACAAAGGTACCATGGAACATAGGTACCAGAAAAACATAGGGATCTATGGAACATGGATCGGGGAAACATAGGGAACTGGAAAACAAGAATCTGGAAAACATAGGTACCAGGAAACATAGATATCAGGAAATACATGCATGGGTCTGCCAGGAACAATACCTGGGAACATAAGAACTGGGAAATATAAATACCAGGGTACATAGGTACCAGGAATGCATAGCGATTTGGGGAACATAGATACTGAGAAACAAAGGGATCCAGTGAACGTACGTACCAAAAACACAGGTACCAGGAAACATAGGGATCTGGGAAACATAGGTACCAAGAAACATAGATATCAAGAAACATAGGTTCCAAGAAACATAGGTATTAAGAAACAGGTACCAAGAAACATAGGTACCAAAAACATAGGTACCAAGAAACCGGTACCAGGAAACATAGGTACCAGAAAATATAGGTACCAAGAAACAGAGGTACCAGGAAACATAGATACCAGGAAACATAGGTACCAAGAAACATAGGGATCCGGGAAACATAGGTACCAGAAAACATAGGTACTGTACCAAGAAACATAGGGATCCAGGAAACATAGGTACCAAGAAACATAGGTACTGTACCAAGAAACATAGGGATCCAGGAAACATAGGTACCAAGAAACATAGGGATCCAGGAAATATAGGTACCAATAAACATAGGGATCCGGGAAACATAGGTACCAAGAAACATAGGTACCAGAAAACATAGGTACCAAGAAACATAGGTACTGTACCAAGAAACATAGGGATCCAGGAAATATAGGTACCAAGAAACATAGGGATCCGGGAAACATAGGTACCTAAATTTCCCCTCGGCGAGACAATAAAGGCTATTTCTATTCTACCAAGAAAAACAGATCCCAGGAAACATAGAGATCCGGGAAACATAGATGAACATAGAGACCGGGAAAAATAGGGATCCACATAAATACTGAGAAATATAGATACCAGGTAATATAGATGCTGGAAAACAAAAGTACCGTGAAACATAAGTACCAGGAATACATAGTTACCAAGACATATAAATACTGGGAAATATATAGAAAACTAAATATTTATACTTAGGTTCTTTGGTTCAAATCTGTTCCTCTAATTCGGGAGACTATTTTGTTCTTCCCCAACAATTTGCAACAATAAAGTTCTTGTTATTTTTTCATTTTTATTTTTTACAGCTCAGGGAATAGTGGTGATTAAACTGTAGACATGGGGCTGATCTGTATACTTACCTGACCAAGATATCCCAGTCTCCCAACAAAACTGGAACACTTTAAGTTTTCAAAAATAAGGTAAGGAACTGAAAGACCGCTGGACTAAGGAACTAACTTTCTACTTATTGAACTGAGTGCTCATGTCATGAAACAAGGCTTTTGAGACCAATTAAACTACATATACTGTACATCTCAGTTCTTTGTTGAATAGCTGGAAATTTCTCTCATTAGAGCTAAACAGGCAGAAGATGGATGGGAAATTAAAAGCGAACAAGAATCTACAGTGTCTTCAAATCACAACAAATGAGCAGCAAATTAGCGGCTGAGAGCTCAATCACTTGTAGAAAAAAAAGGTTTTGCTTCCTAATGAGAAGCTTCTTCTCTGCAGAAAAAAACAAGTGAAAATCACGCGTGTCCTCAGGTTGTGAAATGTTTGGTCGTTCAGATTACATCCTTTTTTTTGACAACTTTATTCTGAGAACCAAACTTGGTGTCTGGCCCCACGTTTACCTCGTTTGTGCCGTCGGACACGGTGAAGGAGAACTGGTCCGCGTGCTTCTCTTCTTCACTGGTGTGGACGTACTGGACGCTGCGTGACGCCAGGTCGGCCTGGGTGAAGGAAGAGATCCTGCTACCTGCAGAGAGGTCAGTATTTTGCTCATCGGTTGCGGTTCTGGTGCACGAGTCTAAAACGGTGACATGGGCATGCCCTACCTGGGTGTGCGACGTGCTCCAGCTGCCCGAGGCCCGTCGGTGAGGTGATCCGGTAGACGAGTTCACCCGGCTCGCTGTCCTGATCGCTGGCCGACAGCTGCAGGGTGGTCAACTTCTTTATGGAGTTTTCATCCAACACCAGGCCTTTGTTCACATCCACAGAGGGAGGAAGGTGGTCCTCTGCAGGCGTCGGGGTCGATTAAAAAAAATACACAAATATTAACGCAACTAGACAAATATCGTGAATGCTTATTGATGAATAATTCAGCTGAAATTTTTTTAAAGTGGCTGTGACATGCATACCCATGAAATACAAAAAATAAAAAAAACATATTTATATTTAAGAAATTTAGCATAATACACATAATTTTCTCTGTTATGTCACGTAATTGGCATATTTTCTTTTGAAATTTGCTCAACTATAGTGAAACAGAAAGTGACATCAAAGGGGAACTCTTTAATAAAGAAAACTCCCCAGTTTTTGTTTATTTAAACAATATTATTTGAATTTTGACTCTCTCACCTCTCTATAGCTGTGTTTTCATTGCAAATGTGCTGAAAATTTTGTCGATATTCTGTTAATGTCGAAAACACAGTTTCACAACTGTGGTGTTTCCATTAAGTAAGAAATGCTATTAAAGTCACGTGAATACGTTTGTTCTCATGATAAGTCATTACAAACATGGCAGCGATGGATGTAAACACATAGCATGTTGCTACCACGACACTAGCGCTCATCATCAGAGGAGGCGTCAGCGTCTTTTATCGAGGCTTTCCAGAGACAATTCCCTACTTGGGAGCGGCTACGTATGCTGTGTTTTTGGGAAATTGTGGTCGGTGAGTTTACTATTTTATACTACTTCTGTGATATTACTACTACTTCTACTTCCTGTTATCTTCTTTGTTGTCTTTTTCACCAGTAGAAACAGCCGGTTGTTGATCACGTGACTCCTGTGATGTGAAAAAAGTGTTTCCATTGCAGTTTTGCGAAAAACACCAATTTTGATACGGCTGAAAAACCACCTCATCCTAGAGCAAAAACATTTTGTCGAAAAACGTAAAATTGACGTGTTTCCATTGAGAAAATTTATTTTCAAAATTCTAATTTGCGCATTTTCATGGTCAATGGAAACGCAGCTACTGATAGAGATTAAAATAATATAAAGAAACATCAGATTATTTTCTAGTCTGTGTAGTTACCCATTTTAGCATCGCTCTGTTCACACTCAGACATTCCCCTTTGACATCACTTCCGGTTACTTCACATGCAAATATCTCAACATCTGTTCATCTCAGCAGCGTGAAATCTTTTTTATAATATGTTATCAATGTTATCTTTCCWAAAATACATTCATATTTATTGTAAAAAAAAAATCATGTCACAGGCACTTTAACTAAACTGAACTTTTAATACTTGATGAGGTGGGACACAAAATTAGCCGAATGATTGATCGATTTTCCTGAAGAATCTGAAACTGTCAGAGAACAGCTGAAAAACACAGAAATATGCAGATAAAAAAGTAAAAGGAGCAGAAATACAGCTGAAAGGGACAAAAATCTGAAATGGGCAGAAAGGAAGTGAAAGGAACAAAAAAGAGTTTAAAGCAGCAGAAGTAGCATAGCAGAAAAGGTCATAATGATAGCTTCAAAAAGCAGAAAAAAGCTAAAATCAGCTAAATAGAAGCTGGAATTAGAACAAAAAAGTAAAAAAAAAGCCAAATCAGGACCAAAAGGTGAAAAATACAGTAAAGATTTCTGAATATTTTAAAGAGTTTCAAGGATCTGAAGACAACTCTGTTCATTTTCAATGAGAGAAAAATGGCAGAAAAAGCTGAATATGTCAAAAAGTATAAATTGTTCAAGTATCAAAAGTCATGAAGGAGCTGAATGTTTTGATAAAAGACAAAACATGGCTCACAGGCAACGGTATAAATGCCACAAAATCAGTTTCTATCCTAAAAAAAGCAACAGCATTTATTAAAATTCATTAAAACCTTAAAATTAAAGCAATATCCCCAAATTATGAACGATCCACTTCACCTAAAATATCCCAGATAATTAGATCATCTGTATTATTCTCTTCACACGTTAACATTTTAATGACTTTATTTCCCTAATCCTTCTGTAGTCATTTTAAATGACCTCATAATGGGAATTTTCACGACTTAAAAATGGTAACAGAAGGAGCCGTCTCGGCACGTTTTTGTATTCAGGATGTGACCGATGTGCGGCAGCGGCGGCGGCCCATCAGGACGAAGGCATAAATCTGCAGTAATTGCCTTGTCTTCTCCGACAAATGAAAGAACACTTCAGGCTTTTTTCGTTTTAGCTGCAGGTAACGGAGAGCGCGGAGAACCCTCACCGAGCACGCTGATGAAGAAGGACTGGTCGATCAGTTTGTTGCCTTCAGGATCCACCAGGTTGAACTTGAAGGACAGGCTGCCGCCTTTCTCACCCTTCTCATGGCTGAACTGCAGAAGGCCTGTAAGACACGGAGCATCGGCTCGTGACCCTAATTACACGAGTTAAATGATAACATCTGTTTAATTACAGCTACACTGTTGTAAAGAACAGGACCGACAAAGAAGCTGAGACCACTGGACACTAGTTTCAGTCTCACTGAATTCTCAGTGCGATCAAGAGACCAGAGACATGTGTGAACCCCCCCACCCCCCCCTCAGCCACGCCCACCTTTATGACCTGATCTACCTGTTTGTCCAATAATTATTAAATATTTGTTTGGTTTTCAGAGCTGGACGCTGCAGCCTTGATTGTTTTATTCTGGGGCGGAACTGTGGAACTAAATTGGGGCCATTAAATTAAAAAAAAATTAAACCAAAAAAAAAACTGGTACTGAAAAATAGATTTTAATCTGAAAACAATTTTTTATACTGAACAAAAAAGGCCATTGTGTCATATAATTAATGATGTATGGCAGGCCATTGTCTTGTATAATAAAAATATAACAGACCATTGTGTCATATTCTGTTTTATCATATCATTGATGATGTATGGCAAGCAGTTGTATTATATAGTTAACCGTGTATGGCAGGCTGTTATTTAATATAATTAATGGTATATGGCAGGCCATTGTCTCCTATAATAAAAAAATATGAAAGACCATTGTGTCATATGACTAATATTGTACCAAGCCGTTCTATCATAGTATTGCTAAGTATGGCAGGCCATTGTATTATATAATTAAGGGTGTATGGCAGGCTACTGTCTCAAATAATAAAAAATATGACAGACCATCATCAAATAACTAACACTGTATAAAGCCGTTCTTTCATATAATTAACAAGGTATGGCAAGCCATGGTGTCATGTAATAAATGATGTATGGCAGGCCATTGTCTCGTTTATTAAAAATATAACAGACCATTGTGTCATACGAATTATTCTGTAGCAATCTGTTTTATCATATTATTGATAAGAATGGCAAGCAGTTGTATTATATAGTTAACCATGTATGGCAGGCTGTTATTTAATATAATTAATGGTATATGGCAGGCCATTGTCTCGTATAATAAAAAAAATGAGAGACCATTGCGTCATTTGACTAATACTGTACCAAGCCATTCTATCATAGTATTGCTAAGTATGGCAGGCCGTTGTATTATATAATTAAGGGTGTATGGCAGGCTACTGTCTCAAATAATAAAAAATATGACAGACAATCATCAAATAACTAATACTGTATAAAGCCATTCTTTCATATAATTAACAAGGTATGACAAGCCATTGTGTCATATAATTAATGATGTATGGCAGGCCATTGTCTTGTTTATTAAAAATATAACAGACCATTGTGTCATATGAATTATTCTGTAGCAATCCCTTTTATCATATTATTGATAAGAATGGCAAGCAGTTGTATCATATAGTTAACCATATATGGCAGGCTGTTATTTAATATAATTAATGGGATATGGCAGGCCATTGTCTCGTATAATAAAAAATATATGAGAGACCATTGTGTCATTTGACTAATATTGTACCAAGCCGTTCTATCATAGTATTGCTAAGTATGGCAGGCCGTTGTATTATATAATTAAGGGTGTATGGCTGGCTACTGTCTCAAATAATAAAAAATATGACAGACCATCATCAAATTACTAACACTGTATAAAGCCGTTCTTTCATATAATTAACAAAGTATGGCAAGCCATTGTGTCATATGATTAATGATGTATGGTAGGCCATTGTCTTTTTTATAAAAAATATAACAGACCATTGTGTCATACGAATTCTGTAGCAATCCGTTTTATCATATTATTGATAAGTATGGCAAGCAGTTGTATCATATAGTTAACCATGTATGGCAGGCTGTTATTTAATATAATTAATGGCATATGGCAGGCCATTGTCTCGTATAATAAAAAAATAGGAGAGACCATTGTGTCATATAACTAATACTGTACCATGCCGTTCTATCATATTATTGCTAAGTATGGAAGTCCGTTGTATTATATTATTAAGGGTGTATGGCAGGCTACTGTCTCAAATAATAAAAATATGACAGACCATCATCAAATTACTAATACTGTATAAAGCCGTTCTTTCATATAATTAATAATATATGGCAAGCCATTGTATCATATGATTAACAATGTATGGCAGGCTATTGTGTCATATTATTAATGGTGTATGGCAGGCCATTGCCTCGTATAATAAAAAATATGGCAGACCATTGTGTCATTTAATTAATATTGTATAGCAGGCCATTGTATCATAAAAATATGGCTGGCTATTAAACCATATAATCAAAAATTAATGTTTTTCAGTTTAAAATCTTTTTGTTTCTAATTTGTTTTCAGTTTCAAAACTTTTTAAAACAAACCTTAAGGTTCCAGTTTAGTTCCATACAGATTCAAATGGGTAAGTGCCACTGAAGTTGACTGACAGGTCACCGCACGTAGGATTAAAAGAAGAGTACCGTACATAAGAAAAAAAAAGTAAAGTCGAATGATCATTGGTTTTACAACATTTTTAAAAACACAAATATATTTAAAACGTAAATAAATAAATAAATAAATAAATAAATAAATAAATAAATAAATAAATAAATCTCCTGTTTCACTCCCAAAACTCCTAACTGCTTGAGTTTGATGAAAGTATGTCTGATTTGTATTCTTCTAGTCTTTTATAGCCAACAGCAGAACTAAAGGTGAATTTATTAAGTGAAACGTTTCAGCTGAACGTGTTTAAAGAGGATAAAGACAGGAGACAAAAGGAATAAAAACAGAGCTGAGACCTTTGTTGACGTCCTCCTGAGTGAAGCTGTGAGCTGGACCTTTGACAGAAACCTTTTCCACACGGCTGCTGCTGCTGCTGAGCAGAAGTTTGCCCACCGGAGGGTCTTTGGTCAGGACGTACCGCAGCTTCAGGCTGTCCGAGTCCAGGTCTGAGCCCTTCAGGTTCTGCTCTGTGATCTTTGACGACGACCCTGAAATAAAACAAAGAATGGAGGCAGCTCTTATAACCTCGTCTGTTTTCACCCAGATAAGAGTCGTGGTGTGGTGAAGTTTCTCTGCTCGTACGACCCGGATCACCTGGTCCGGACTCTCACCTGCCGTGAGCTGCAGGCCTCTGTTGACGGTCATCCGCGGTCCCTCGCTCTTCCTGACGTCCATGGTGAACTCCAGCCGGCCTGTGAGGGTGTGGACGCCGTCGGTGAGGGTGAAGCCCATTTCGTCGGCGCCCCCGTTGACCGTGTCCGGCGTGTAGACCAGCAGCCGGTCCAGGACGTCCTGGTAGGTGAAGGTGGAGCCCCGCGCCAGGACGCGACCGTTTTCCAGCGGCTGAGAGTAAAACTGTCGCCGCCGCAGTTTGCCTGGAAACAGTTTCTGTTTTAGGTTTGGTTTTATGCTTAACATTTATGTTTGACTTCATGTTGAACACCTGTCAGTGCATGGCGCTTATAGGTTTTGTTTGTCAACCATTTTTTTTAGAAAGTTTTATTTATTCAAAAAGTTTGTGTCTAATAATGTAGGTGAGGAGCCTAGGCATGCTAGTTGCTAGCCTCTCTGATGCTAACACCAGGTTTTCCATGCTAGTCACTAACTTCTTCAAAGCTAATGCCAGCTTATCCATGCTTGTCGCTAACTTCAATGCTAACATCAGTTTATCCATGCTAGTCGTTAGCCTCTTCGATGCTAATGCCAGCTTGTCCATGTTAGTCACTAGCCTCTTTGATGCTAACGTCAGTCTATCTATGCTAGTTGCTAGCCTCTCCAATGCTAATTCCAGGTTATTCATGTTAGTCAATAGCCTCTCTGGTGCCAACATCAGGTTATCCATGCTTGTTGCTAACTTCAATGCTAACATTAGTTTATCCATGCTAGTCACTAACTTCAATGCTAACATCAGCTTATCCATGCTGTCGCTAACTTCAGTGCTACCAGCTTATCCATACTAGCTGCTAGCCTCTCTGATGCTAACATCAGTTTATCCATGCTATTCGCTAACTTAAATGCTAACACCAGCTTATCCATGCTAGTCGCTGGCCTCTCTGATGCTAACACCAGTCTATCTATGCTAGTCGCTAACCTCTCTGATGCAAATGCCAGTCTACCTATGCTAGTCGCTAGCCTCTCCAATGCTAATGCCATGTTATTCATGTTAGTCACTAGCCTCTCTGATGCTAACACCAGGTTATCCATGGTAGTCGTTAACTTCAGTGCTAACACCAGGTTATTGATGTTAGCCACTAGCCTTTCCGATGCTAATGCCAGCATGTCCATTTTAGTCACTAGTCTCAATGCTAACGCCAGCTTATCCATGCTAGTCGCTAGCCTCTCCGATGCTAATACCAGGTTGTCCATGCTAGTCACTGGCCTTTCCAATGCTACCGCCAGGTTATTCATGCTAGTCGCTAGCCTTTCTGATGCTAACACTAGCTTATCCATCTAGTTACTAGCCTCTCCAACATTAATGCCAGCTTATCCACGCTAGTTGCTACCCTCTCTAATGCTAACGCCAGCTTATCCATGCGAGTCACTAGACTTCCAATGCTAACACAATAGTCTCCTTCTCATTTTCCAGTGTCGGCCTCTCAGTTAGTGGTGTCTGCCTATCATTAATCAGATTAATAGCTGGATTAGGAATAGATATAGCCTCCTGCTACAAAGATGTAGTCTTAATTTTGGCCCTCACACTGCTCCATACAGTCCTGACGTCTTTATCAGGTTAGAGCATCTCTCTGATAAATCTGAGCATTTTGGAGGGCACTCATGTAAGGAAAGTAAAAAAACAGAAAAGACAAGCCACCTGAGATTCATTGGTGGCTCTGCCCCATCGCTCGTACACTCCGGTGATTTTACGGCGCTTTAAGGGGCGAGGGGCTGTCTGTTATTAGAAATAACTGGAGCAGGTGTGGCTGAATGCCAGTAAATGGTTGAAGATGATGCTAAAGAAGACAGAAAACTGAGGCTTTTGTTGTTAAACATTCATCTCAGTCTGCAGAGTTTATCCAACACATTAAACCAGACGGATCAACATTCCTCTTATCCAAGTTTTCCTCCCTGTTCAGGATTTTTGCCCACTTTGCTAAAACAGTCAGATGACGAACTGCCGGAGAAGAAATATTTCTTGTCACATAAAACAAGAAAAACACTTTTCCTTTTCAGCGGACCAATTTCTTCAGGCCCACCGGGCTCCGGCGTCCGAGGAGGGAAACTCAATTTGCGTCGGTCGAGGAGCCGTCAGCGAGAGCGAGCGTTTGGAGGTCAGTCGATGTGAGCGTGTGACGGATAACTGCAGCACTGCGGCGCCGGACCCGTGTGTTTGTCTTGTTTCAACTTGTTTGGCTGTCGGAAGTGAGAGTAATGTGCGTGCGTGTGTGTGTGTGTGTGTGTGTGTGTGTGTGTGTGTGTGTGTGTGTGTGTGTGTGTGTGTGTG